GGTTGTGACCTGGTGTGGCCTGTTCACCTGATGGTTCCTTTACCTCGGGCTGAGGCTTCTGGTTGAGACCTGGTGTGGTCTGTTCTTCTTCCTGTCCCCCATGTTTGCTCTCATGTGCGGTGTTTTGCATTGTCTCTGCATGGGGGTCTGGCTTGCTCTCGTTTGGAGGGGTTGGAATAGAGAGAACCTTCTCGACATGAGCTGGAGTAGCTGACGGTTCAGCTTCGTGGACAAATGTTTCAGGAAGACTCCGAGGGGACGGCAGACTTCCAGACACAAAGGACCTGCTTTGAGCATCGTTCCATACAGATGGGGTGCCTGGTACAGGTCCGGTCAACATTTCAATGCTCGGAGACTTCAAGAGTTCAATGCTCGGAGAGAGAGAATGCATGATTGTTGGTGCAACAGACTCCATAGAACCCTGCCGGGACCATGCTGGCATTGCTATGGCGGATCCTGTAGAAGCTAGGCCAAGAAGCCCTGTGGGTCTCTGCTCATAGAAATGTGTACTGCTTGACGATATTCCCTGGAACGAGCGGCCATCATGAAGTGGACTACCATGTGCTCGTGATGGGGGTGGGGAGTTGAACTGGTGTAGCCCATGGTTCAAGCCAGTATGTGGACCTCTTACGGCAAAATGACCAGCATCCCGAGGTACATGGTATAGAGCTGGACCTTGACTGGCACCTCAACAATCATGTACATGAGCCTGCTAGTTCCGTTAGTTGTAGTGATAAGCAACCATGATTGCGTCTAGAGCACCCAAGCGTGCTTCCAGGCCATCAGCCACACCTGTCTGGGTGCCCAACTCAGCCTGAAGCTGAGCAATCTGACGTTGTGCAGCCTGGGCATCACAGGTTTTGAAACATATGAGGGAGGAAGAGGTTCATCACTAGTCTCTACTCGCATGAACTTCCATCCACAAAAAAATATAGTCCCAGCAACCAGGATCTCTCCATCCAAAGATGTTGGATCGCCCAATCCCTGGCCTTCTACAATTCCTAACCCATGTTCCATAGTGTCCAGATGGCGAATGTGGTCGCTCATCCAAACTGAAGTCGGCTACCCACAAGAAAGCTTTGATCCCAAAATCTTACATATATATATATATAAATGCGGTTTCTTTCAAGATCCAGGTAGATCAGGAAATACTACAGCTTTGAACATACCCAGTATTTCAATCAATGATTCAGGAGTGCCTTTTTTGCCAAAAGCTCCCAGAACTCCGTTTTTGAAACTATGCAAAACAACAAGAATTACTAGTTTTTAGGATTTGCGAGCGTTTGCGGGAAATTGCGGGCGTTTTGCGGGATTTTGCGGGCGTTTT